CTGGAAGTATATCAATTTGATGATGATTATTTAATAATGATAATCAGAAACTTGAAATTTGTTGTATGACAAGCCATTTTTAAACTATATTATAATACAAAATTACATATTTTATTAAGTATAATTCGTTGGGAAGGTAGATACATGTTTTATATTTTATTTATTTAACATTTGTAATTACAATTAGTTCAAGAATTATTAAGTATATTTTATGTGGAGCATACAATATTAAAATTGCTATTGTTCAGTCTTTGGTCTTCAACATTATGGATATCCATCTGTCCGGATCGTTTATCAATATAGATTTACGGTTCAACTTTAAAATAAAATATTAAAATGGTTTTTTATTATTATATGCAAACCAAAATGGCCAATTGGGACATATAGCTTATGATTTTTCAACTCAGTATTTTTAACGTTGAGTGTAAACAATAAAATTTAATAAGTGGTTAAAGATTTATTTTATATTTTGATTATTATTGGTTGTTTAAATATATTGAAAAGTAAAATAAAATTTTGTGAGAAAATACTAAACATAATAGTCATACACTATTATTCTGTCTAGATATTTACCATTTGATTTATATTCATCGTATCTTTTGTTTGTCTTCTCTAATATTTATCATTCCAGAATTGCTTATCATTGAAAGCAAACATTTGGATTTATATAAATCATCTGTGCCATCATCTGAACGATGAGAAGTATCTTGCCTTTGTCGTTCTCGATGATAAGATCCCTGAAGGCTATCTATTTTATTTTCACATTGGTCACATCGTCTGTGTTCATCTTGGTTGCAATTTCTTCCCAATTATTGATTTTTTTAAAAAATATGTTTACAATTTTTATCCAGGGGATCCCAAAGAACCCTTTTTTCTCTATACAACTGTATAAGTTACAAAGATTTGCAACTCTGATCACTCCATGTATGAAAATACAATAAGGTACTAATAAATTGATAAATAATAAAATAGTGCACACTTCACGGTTGACGCGTAATGCCGAAATGTGAAAAACTTGAACTCACGACAACATTTTATCGTATGGCTGCTACCAGATCGAACAGGTCCGCACGCGTATGAATAGTGTTCGTACATAAACGGAATTCATCTCGACCAATAATTCGTATGACCGTACGTCCGTGCGTTTTGGTGGAGACACGCTTTGACATATAATTATAAAAATAACCACAAGATAATCATAATATACCCAAACTAGTAATATGCATGATAAAAGAACATGGTATGATGACATTTATGTGATACGCATTCGTGTGACGTGGGCATCGCGCCGTTCAGTTACGTTATCATCAATAACCGTTATCATGAATTTTTATTAGATGTTTTCATTTAGTATCCAATTTTATATTTCCGTATTAAAAATTACAATATTATTGTTTTTAACTACAGTTAACCATTAACTGTTGAGGAATATTAAGATTTTAGTGATACCTGTATTAAAATTTATATTTTTTATTTTCTTGGTGTCCCAATGAATTTGTTTGAGCCAAATAGTTCTTAGCTGTTCATCTTTTGGAAAAGAATGGATATGCACCGAGGTATCCTTTATAATCCATTTTTTTTTTTTGCTAACGGTTGTACAGCCATAATACACGCAAACAGGCATGACGAAGGAATAACTAATAAACTTGTAGCATTAGCTTTACACAATAACTTATTCCGTGGTAATTAAGTTAAAAATCAAAAATATAGAAGATAATATTAAGATCTAATTTCTTTTATCATGATTAAGATAATAATTTAATAGTATATTAAATGATAGCAATTTACTATTTATTTTAGATAAATGATGATAAACTATTTAAAATTAATGCATTTGGGCGGGAATCTATTGACCAATCAAAAGAACCGTGATTTGTGTGCGCAGTCCGTCAATTATTTGGAAAATATGTCACTATACCATGTTCTTTTATCATGGTAATATGTATAATATTAATTTATATATTATGTACCACATTATGAAAGATAATAAAAAAATTATTCATCTTCTTTTTTCGTCTGAAGTAAGAATTTTCACAAAATTCGCTCAAATCACGAAAATTTGACAATTATTTTGAGTTACAAACAATAAAAATTTTTCATTAGTTTCTATGAGATTTGGAAATGTAATAAGTGAGTACAAGATACCTCATAAGTTTTCTTACCTTTAACAAAAATAAAAAAGATCTTTCGGAAACTCAAATTAATTTTTATGAGTTTTTGAACTACAATTTTTTTTGACATTAGATACTCCTCCGTAAATTAACGAATTCTCTTTGAACAATTTTCTTATTGTGTTTTAATTCAAAAACAAATAACTATAGATAATACCGATAATAACTATGTTTATTTTATATTTTTCTATACGCGATGAAAATTTTAAAATATTCTTCTTCGTTTTGAGTTATTAAGATATTTCAAATTTAAAAAATTTGCTGTCGTTAAGCGAAAAATCTTGAACATAAATAAAAGTTCCTCATAAGTTGTTAAAATATTAGTTGATATTTATTTTAAAGTTAGTTTTACATGATTGTTTTAGTCAAAATCGACTTATTGATTACAAGAAAATCCTGTAAAATTGTCATTCAGTTTAAATAATGCATTAAAATGTAGGTATAATATACAATTATTACAATTTCATAAAAGAAATGGGCTTAAAATAAAACACAGTACTATAATTATTGTCATACACACGTTTATTAGAAATACATTTTACTTTAGGTAGGTACTAGGTATTCTATATGACTATATAGTAGGTAAGTAGATATTCAAAATAATTATTTTATACATTTAAAAATCTGATTATGTTATATGCTTATACACTCTTTATTGTGCTAAATTACAACAATAATAATTATTTGTAAAATTTATAACAATAAAACCGAACATTTCTCTCTGTCGAATCAAGCAATAAAAAAAAAAACATAAAACATTAATAAATTAGTCAGTAGCATATCAGGCTTTATTTGCGGGATACACAATGGTTTATTTTTAAATTTGTATTATAACTCATAAGTCTTGATATCTATTATCTGCATAATATGTTTGTAATTATACAGATATTAGAAATATTATTATTTTTTTAGGTACTCATAAAAGCACTAGATTAATGTTTTTTGTACATTACATTTATTATATTGACCTGTAAAAGTTTAAAAAATAAATATATACCGCATGATTCATTTAACGTAAGACACTCATCGTCCAAAAAGTATCATGTTTTCAAAAATATTTTTTATTCTTATATTTTTTAAATTTGTACGCAATTGAATAATCAGTTATAAGTTATAACATAATTAATTTATCTAGAATATTTTTCTAAGTATTTCGATTTACAAAAATCGAATTTATGATGGGTAGTTTATGAGTTATAACTAGTAAGTTTTTAATGTTTTTATGAGTGGATTCCTAGTTGACCAACATTTTGTGGGATAACCGAGTATAACTTCACTCCACTTATATAAACTTTAAATAATTATAAGGTACTCACAAACTACTAGTCCTAAATACGATTTTTGTGTATCGAAATATTCAGAAAAATATTCTCCTTTGGAATATGAAATTAAAACTGTACGTTTTCGTTTATAAAAGTAAAAACTTAAGAATTGTTGATGATTATGTGTATATATATTTCAAAATGTGGTTTTTAAACTGCTAGAAATTATGTACAATCATTTAAAAAAAAAAAAAAAAATGCTTTTTGAAATAATAATGAGTGTTGAATCACCCGTTATATTCATTATTGATATAGATTGAACTTTTATGTCAGTGATGTGTGCTATATTTGAAAAAATAAAGCTAAAATAGATTCGAATTGTATCTGCATATTGTAGTCTCCCTAGCCTCTAAAAAGTAATGCCCGACTGAGTCCAGATCATTAGATATAATCCGTGAATCCTGTGTACTAAATCCTTAATATTGCTACTCTATATAAGATACAGGTACTCTAGAGACTGTACTATACTTTTACACATTAACAGCTGTAGTTTCATTGATTTTACCAGCTTTAATCAGTTTTGAGCTTTTCAGCAGAATTATAACATTTGAGATCCGACAGAACTTTTTTAACAACGTGTTATTCAATAGGTCCTATGTTTCTTCATAATATTGTGTTTGAACTTGAGCTTATATGAACTATCTACCTACCGACATTAATGTAGGTACATACCAAATCATGCAATACTTCTGATCATGACTAAATTGCCTAAAAATGTAATAACGATTTTTAATTATCAAACAATTTGGTTTTGCTACAATATTTTGTAGTGGCGGCTCGTGGTAGTTTGATGTGGGAGTGCGATAAAATGTTTTTTAATAATCAAAATGATACGATATGAATAGTATCAGTAATATCTCCTTTAGCTACTATCTTTAGACGTAAATATCTAACTCGTCGCGCTACAAATACAAAACCGCAGGTCGCGCGCCGCCGAAAATGTACGAGAATTATCGCACAATAATAATATAGCATAGGTAATACTCGTAATAGTCTTACCGCCGCCGCGACTCACAGCCCGCACCGTTGCAGTCCACAAATTGAACGTATGCTCGTCGCACTGTGACAAATACAACAGCCTCCCACAAATAGCCGCCGAAAATGTGCAATGAGAATTGTCGCAATATAATCATAATAATATAACCCGTATAACACATATTATTTATGTGCGACGCGGACTGCTGCACCATACAGTATACAGTATACACGTTAAACGCTCCAGCCTTCGTATAATATTTTTAGATTATTCTTTTCGTTAATTTGTATAATTACCGGATTAAGAAGATATTTTTCTTCAAATATTAATATTTTCCAATACAATTCTGAATCTTTTAAATTATTTTGAAAGAAATATAGTCATATACACTATCGTGATTCCTATTTAGTTTACTATTAGAAGTATAATTACAAATATAATTTTATTTTAAAAATTTACTCGGGGAGTGCGGTCGCACCATCACATCTTAGCACGAGCCGCCTCTGATATTTTGTACATATTATGTAAATACTACGTACACACTAGCGCTTGTAGTATCCGTAATTCTGGGTGGCATTTACATATTATATCTCCTTTAAACACAGCATACAGTATTGAAAAGAAGTAGTATGTTGTGATATTTGATAACAAACAACGTATAAGTATAATACGTTTATCCTGAAACAAAATTTGTTTGGTTACACACTTAGACAACAGTTTCAAGAACCAAGGCCTCTTGGAAAAATATTTTTCAACTAATAAATTATCTGATATACGTATCATTGTGTATTCTTTTTTAACATTTGCTTTGATATAACTTGTCAATGGTAATCAAATGATTTTGTCTGGGAGGAGGTGGGGGGTTGGGGGAGGCTGATTTTTTAACTTGCATTTTAATCGTTAAAAACTTAATTAATAAATTAAAGGATATATCTACGACCCACCTAAGTTGAATTAATTAATAAAAAATATTAGCTAAAAAAGGTTTTTTAGGTAGGTACCTACTTTATATTAATAAATTATTATTATTATAATTGTTTGATTTATTATCAGATGATAACTGTGGTTATTATATTTAAAAATTCTGGCCACGGACTATAAATAAATTAATAATATCTCAACCCAAATAAATTAAATTCAAAAATTCAAATTTTGAAGATGGAGGCACACAGATAATTTATTTCAGCAAACGGAAATCGAATATTTTTTTGTTTATAATATAGACATAGGGTGCCATTGCTTATTGAAATGAAGGATACTTTATAATAGAATCTACATATAGGTAGTTTATCAAAAATAATGTTTTGTATCTTATATAGGTACTCTAAGACTCCTTGACTTATTTTTACGAAAATTTCTAACTGTTCTTAGAAATATCAGGAAAGTTTAAAGAGTTGTTTAAACCACGTTCGAAAATGTACGAAGTGTGCAGTGCAGTGGATACATCGACGCTGATTTTCCCATAAACTGAAGAGCCGAGAATCTAGATACACTAAATCACTAAAACCGTACAGTTATATAGTAGCAAAAAGTATATTTGATTATTTTTTCTTGGGCTAAGTCGGGTTGTACAGCTAGTAATTTTATAATATTAATCATTATATAAAATAACATTACTATTTAAATAATTAATATATACCAAGGGGCTCTGCGTGCTTTGCTCACTTTTTTATATAATATAGAAAGATAAATGTATGTATATTTGTATATATTATTATAAATATTTGAAATAAAAGTTACTAGGAGGGAGATATATCTCTCTAATCTGCCTTACCCGTTTGATCACTAATTTTTAAAAATAAAATTAATATAAGTATTAATACTATTTTAGGATTAATTAATTATATTTATTCAAATGAGTTGATTAACTTTTCTATGTTTTTACTCACTTGAAATATTGGTACATCCCTTTCGTAGACTTTTTGAATATGACAAATGAATGTGAAGGTAATAAATAACATACGCAATTCAGACAAATAAATATCTTTCACTATATGTTCTAGAGATAGTTCAGGTATGGGGAAAAAATATATTTCTGATACTTTGAAATCTAATTGAATGACTGAAACACAAAAACGGATATTGCAAGGTACCTATATATTTTTCAAATCCAAACCATATTCATAGGTAGTGGTATATGCAATATAATTCTTAACAAGCATGCTAGCACAAATATTATTACAATTAATATTTAGGTACACAATAATATTTGTGCTATATAGGTAATACTAAATCAAATACTTAAACAATTTATATTATAGAAAATTAAAACTAAAAATCGTAATTAAGTGGTGTAAATGGTTAATTATTTCATAAATTCTAAAAAAAATAAAAATTTTAAAAAATATATAAAATAATAGTGAAGTGAATGTGAACTAAATGTTTGAGCAATATTAATATTTAAAGTTTAGATGAGTGGAGTAAACTATTAAGGAAAAGCAGGTATCCAAATTTATAGGCTCGTCTATAATCTTAAAATATCTATGGGTTTTAATGTTTTGAATTACACTAATAAATATTAAATAGTTTGCTTTGGAATATAAAATTAAGAATGCAGGGACCTATTTTATCTTTCAAAAATGTAAAACTTAAATAACAACGATAAAAAATTGTAAAAATATTGAACATATATTTTTCACATTTGTTTTAAAAATTTCAAATTTTTTTTTTTCACAATACGATTTATAATGAGATTACAGGGTTCTCCGAGTTTCCTCTGTTATCCCTACGTATATAGTTAAGACACCTATAAGTTATATAACTACTGTTGTAAAACAGATATTTTAATACACAACTATAAAGTAAATAAACAAAGAAAGTTAATAAATACTTACGTGGGCACGCGAAAATCATTGAGTAGATGGTAATATTAATGACCTAAAATACAAAATAGAAAAACAAAAATTGAATTGAATTTCATATGCAGTATAATTTCATGCAAGTAAAATAAATGACTTAGTTGTTCAAATACTCTAGGTTATTTTTTGTAATTAGAATTATATACCTTTCATATAGAAATAAAAAACACAAAATTAATTGAAAATACCCGGCACCTATAAATTATAATAATATAATAATAGGAGTATTCACTTAACCTTGACCAAGTAATTAATAAGAGTAGGTATACTGATTCTATTAAACCAATTCCTTAAAAATTTTAATTTACATTGTTGATAGGTACTTAATAGCTATCACCATACAACGTATAAGCTATGCATATTGTATATGGTATAAATATTAAAATGTATTGTCTTACATGACAGACGTTAGCTATTTTTACGAAAACTTTGCAAAGTACTTCTGCCTCAAACATAGCTTGGGCATATTCCATCATAGTATTCAGTATCATAATTTTCGACGGTAATTCTGAAAATAAAATAAAAGCATTGTATAGGACTCAATTTAATGTGCTACCTGTTGAATAATACAGGCACTGTAAAATGAAACAGGATATGAAAATAAATGGTACTTAACCCAATATAATATTATAATATTTAATTTCAAAACAGTTAAAATGGTATCGGATGTAATGATACCCGGAAGTCGTTTAACAATAAATATACATTATATACCTATCTAGGTGATGTGTCTGTACTGTTGCTGAAATGAAAAATTTTGCAATAGACTTGTACAGGTCGGTCACGAAAATCAAGTGCAGGAATTATTGCCGTCGCACTGCGCCTCGTCAACGTGCGAGACGAGTCGGTCTCTGCTATCACGGGCTGGTAACCCATAGCAACATGTGGAAGGGGAGCAGTGGCGCACCATGGTATGGTTGGTAGGGATGGGTGGGGGGGGAGGGGCACCGACCCCTTCAACGACGGTGGACAGTATAGTACATATTTAATTATTTGTTATCAATAAACGTGTATTGTATAATAATGTTCGATGATTAATAAGTTCTAAGAACCATATAAATAATAAGTTTTAAAAGTGCCTAAAATATTCTTAAAAATTTTAATTTTCTTATGATTTTTTCATTTTTTATAATTCAAATATAAATTACTACTATTTTATTTTATTGAAGTTTGTATGTTGTAAGATGGTTACACTCGAGAATCCGAATTGAACACTTATTGATTATGTTTAACCCTATTTCATATTAATTAAATTATTATATATACCGGTGGGCTTTGGGCAGTGGCAAGGACGCCCGTTAGAAGGTGAAAGGTGGAGACATGTCACTCCCCCCTCCCCCACCTAGATAAATGCGAAATGACAGTTATTTTTTTAATTTTAAATAATAACCTATTTTGTACAAAATTACGCAGGAGTTACATAGCTTATCTTTTTGTAAAATCATGTTTCTATAAGATTATTCAGCCAATTTTTTTAAAATTTATTATGACTATAATCTACCAATCTTCGCGAAAATTCGTATGACATCTACTCCCCTGATATGTTCTTTTACATTTTTATTTGATGTAAATTATATTAACACTTAACAGGGTATCATCTGCTCAAAAAGCGTTGTTATATATTATATAATTTTGTGATGCATAGAAATTGCTAGTTTATTTATTCAGTGAAATATTCAAGTATCTACGGTTATTGTTTTTAAAGTGACACTAATAAAACAAAATAGGTTTTTTCGAATACTGTAAAAATCTCAGTTTTTCTTTAGTTTTTTGTTCGTTTGTTCTGATGTTTTTGAAAACTATTGGAGATTTTCGACTTTTGACCTCCCAAAGTACCAATTAGATTCACTTCCCTACCAAAAAAAAAAAATGCTTTTGAAGAAAATCAATGCATTTTTACCAACCTAAAACGTGATGACAGACACAAACACACATAAACATAATTATTGTAAAATCAGTACATTCATTGCTCTGCTCTGCACAATCTAAAATACGTAGTTACTTATAAATCACTGATGTATACTAAATAGGCACTGGAAGGTGGAGACGGGCCACGTGGAAAATAACATAATTACTGTTACACATAGTATCCGTTTCAGCTTATCGCTTTTGATCGCTAGTATTAAACAAATTATAAAAATGCGTTCAATCAATATTATAAATAATAACCATTATCAAATTTCAAATGAACTAATGAAAATGTTGTATTTGCTTACGACACTGGGATACTAGTAGAGGCTATATAAATACGCGGACGCAGTAAACCCACACGACCACACTATAGACCTTGTAATATTAAATAAGCAATAAGTGTATAGAAACGTGCGACAATAATATAGAGGGAGATCATTCATTACTTGTTTACTTTACTCAATATGAATTTATAGTACTACGACTACTACGGGTTATAGTATGGTAAGATTTAAAGATGTATAGATAATTTTATTTTGTCACCAAGACAACCTACATCAATGCGCGCTCGTAATACTGTTTTTATACGCATTTCTTTTCTAGTATTGTAAGGTAAAAAACTTTCGTAGGATACACCCAACCCTTCGTAATACGTCTAAGACGTTAAACACTATGACAACAAAATATATATGTACTGTGTAATATCATTAACTACTATAACTAAAGAAAAATAAGAATTAATTAATTGTTATTATTATTATTTATTAGGTATCTACCTACTTCTATATTGTATGACTTATAAAGAAATAGTAATATTTTTAAATGTGTTAGGTACAATACAAATTATTTGTACCTATCGGTTAAATTTATTAAACGACCTACAATTAATATTATTTGAATTTAAGCTTTTTGTTTTTCAGACTTTGAGTACCTACCTAATTAATTAACTTTATAATTATAATTTTATTTCATTGGTTCATAAATTATTTTTTTACTGAAACCTAGTTTATAAGATAGATAGTCAAATATAACACGAAAAAAATTTTTCTAGGAATGTTTAACCTGAGGTGAAAAGTAAGAAAAATCTAGTTTATTTGGCTGTACTATGACAAAGCACCAACCACCAACAATTAAAGATAAATATTTGAGGGACATTGTTACAGTGTAATCAATATACGAAGCGCGTGAGAATTAATGTATCCGTGTCAAAATCTTTAACTATAAAAACTTGAAACATTCAACTGTTACTAGAATTATTATTTTCTAAGCTCCTAAGCTGAAATTCGCAAAATATTTGGAGTAATATAAAGCTATTCATGAGATTTTGAAATCATTCAAACCAATTAATTTTGAGTTTTTCATTAAAATATTGATAGTTGAATGTTTACGCTCAATCAAAAATCTTGAAAATGTAATGCAAGATCTCATATACTTTGTTTTTATAGCTATTTAAAACATTAAATATAAAAATTAAAATTAATATTTTTTTAAAAAACATTTAAATTATTTTGTAATATACACACATTTTTTTTTTTTTGACATTTGAATTTCAAAATGTTGATTAGATATTGAAACAGAAAATAGCGATCTTAGTTATTTTGTCTCACCTTATTCACGATTATTATTCAGGAGTATTTTAAACTTTAACTTAAATTTTTTCGATTTCCAACATTGATTTTTTTTTTGTTTGTTTGACCGAGCTTATAAAACAACCACTTTATCGTGGTCCGCTCACATAATATCTAGGATGTATTTTTGTTTTTTTTCTGCAGTTCTGAAATCTGGGCATCCCTTGGTGAATTATTTTTAAAATATTTTCTTCAAATCGTGAACGCTACGCACTGCGTTAAAATTTGAGGGATTTTAAATCTTTCAAGGTCCTTGACCCCGTTTAGACATATAATCTATTGTAACTGCGTACATCTCTTTCACCCGGGCGTAGCTGAGGGTGGCTGCAGACTCACTACCACTCCATTTAGAGTGGGATGTTTTCCACCCCAGATTGATTTGGGGGGGGGGGGGGGGGCCGTGAGCTCTCGTTTTCGTTCCATTTATTATAATCAATATCTGGTGCAGCCGCGTAACAAGTGTTGTGTTAAAATAAGTGTAAAATACAACGTACATATTTAATTATACCTACAGTATTTTATTGCAGATTTATACGTGTTTACATTCGAATAAATTAAAAACAAATATTGATTAAATTAAATAATGTTGTATTAGTTGTTTATATGTAGATTCAAACGTACAGTACACACAATAAGGTACTATTGTATTATAAAATTATCAAAGTATTCACAATAACTAGTAAGGCAGTTCACCTTGGAGTTTATAAGTTATCATAATACACCTACCCAAAAATAGTTTTAAACAACTATTCAACTCCGCTACTTTACGGTTTGATTAGCTATTATAGATAAAACAAATTGAAATATATACATATATTATGTATTTTTATATTTTATTAATATCTTAATTCATTATTAATTATAATATTAATAACTATATCTACATCATTTTATGTTCTATAAGTATCTGAGATGTTGATCGGTAAATATGAAAATAAAATAAAATGTAGTTAGGTACCATTACAACCTACCTAAATTAGTGACTAATTAAGTTCAATGAATAAATTATATATAAATTTATTGGATACAAGTAGAAGGTATTATTTTAAATACACAATAACATTTTTAAAATATTTAGATTAGTTTTATTTAAACCACACACCTTTTCATACATATTATGGCAGATCAGTTTAGACTAAAAAATTAAAAATAATAATAATATACATAAATATCTATAATAAAAATTAAGAAAATTATTATTTGTAAATAATTATATTTATTAGTACAATAAATGCAATGGTTTCAGCAAAATTAATTCAACCTATCTACCATTATATCAGTAAAATAAATTACTGCTGTAGCAATATAATAGTATTTTATGCGGTAATTGCTGTAAGTGAGCTATAATTTCAGTCTAGGATGACTTGCAAGAAAATTATAACATAAATATAAGATGTAACTAAAAGTTTATGTTTTCAAGGACTTTGGTAAAGATTTTAGTGTCTGGTTGTGCAGGGGATACGCATATCACTTTTAGGGATTTCCAGTGTACCGCCCGGCACTTTTGGGATTCCCACTTTAGAACCAGCTGGAAAAAGTAGCTTTCCATCGTTTCAACCGTCATCAAAAACTTAACTCTCGGAGCAGGTGTGAAAAAAAAACATAAATCATAGAATGCACTTAGTAGGTAATATTAAACCGTCTTCTCTCAGAATCGTATATTGTAAACAACTAACTACACAATAGTAATAGACCCCTTATAATGCGTAAGCGTAGGGGGAATATGTAAATATACACCAATTTTAACCCAATATTTTTATCACTACTGACATTTATATATATTATATATAGTATATAATATAATTAGACCTATGATACATAACTATATAGTCTCGCTTGTATTATGTTTATTTGATACTGGCGTTTTTGGAGTTCACGAAATTGTACTTAATTATTATTTAACCAATAAGTAAAAATATCAAAAATCGGGCGTC